CTATGAGATATTGAGTATGATCATGATAATGGAGCTAAAGCCTAAGAAGATGAAAATAAAGTTGTTATTTATTATAAATTGCATGTAATATGCGCAACGATTGGATTATATTTTTTTGGTAATTTGATGATCGAAATTATAACAAAATCCGATCGCTCTACGGCAAATTATATACGTATATAATTATAGGTAAATTCATTTTTAATCATAACATCTAGTACAATGTTTTTGTGTACCATTAAAAAATTTCTTCAAAATCGTATGATTGTTTAAAGAACTTGTGAAATTCAACATGGTTGGCTGTTGATGTAAGCATTTGAGAATTTTGTTACTAGTATTTTTTGTTATATTACCTATTTCATGATATGCCGTAGGTAACACGTAAGATATCTAGGTTATATTTTGTTATTAGTTTTTTACTAAGCAAGGTTAGCGCAAACATTGAGACTTTATGATCTGTATCGATAAAAAAACAAAACAATAAATCATTGGAAAACTTATAGGCACCTACTTCACCACCTTACCTAACCTAACCTCACTACAAGTGTGCCCTCAACTTTTTTGCAATAAACCGAAATATTATATTAAACAAATAGAGTTGTTTTTTGTTATTCCCTATTCCTCAGAAAATATTCATCATTATTTGAATACAAAATCGAACTAGAAGTGGGTCATTCGAAACACGGATTTACAAAAACAAATAGTTGGTAATATGTTGGAGTTTTGAAAAAATAACATACTAAGAAACAGATTAACAAATTATGATACTATCTGTACAATCCATACCGACCAATTATGGTGTATATGAGTAAAATCATGATACAAAAACAATACTGAAAAATAAAGAATTATAATATTATATTTTTTATTTAATAATTCGTAGTAAGCCGTAAAATTAAGTTTAACCTTCTTTTTAAATATTTTAAGGGAGTAAGGGTATAGGTTGTCAATTGAGACAATTAAAGAACAAACCACAAAAGTTTATTATATTATGTGAGATGTGTGAAAATGTAATACGTTTTGAAATTAAAAACATGATTTTCTCAGAATGTTAAAAAATTGACATTGATCTTTTTCCCCGCAGCCCTTCATATACGTATATAATTAAACTCATTTTGAAATTAAACAATCTAGCACAATGTTATTGTGTACCATTAAAATATTTTTTCAAAATTTTACGATTATTTAAAGAACTTGTAAAATTCAGTATTTTGCCTGTTGCTGTTAGCATTTGAGAATCTTTTTAGTAGTATTTTTTAAATATTATTTCATGGTTTGCCGTGTGCACACAGGTGACACGTAAGATATCTAGGTTTTATTTTATTTTTCGTTTTTTACAAAGCAAGGTTAGGGCAAACATTGATCTGCAACGATGAAAAAAACAAAACAACAAATAATTGGAAAACTTATACCTACTTCACTACATTACCTAACCAAACCTCACTACAAGTGAGCTCTCGATTTTTTTGCGATAAATCGAAATATTATATTAAACGAATAGCGTTTTTTTTTTTTTTTACAAATAGGGTAAACCTAAAATTTTGATAATGAACTTATTACAACCGTCGAATATAACTCAATACATAATGTTAAGTAACTTATGTAATTAAAATGACATTAACTAATTGTCGATCAAATTGTTACCATAAGTTATACTAAAACAAACAATATTATATGACCTTTACCAAATTTTAAAATGTAATATACATATTGTATGTGTTATTTTTTCAAAACTTCAAAATATTACCATCTATATGTTTTTGTAAATCCGTGGTTCGAATGACCCACTTCTAGTTCGATTATGTATTCAAATGTTGATAAATATTTTCTGAGGAATAGGGAAAAACAAAAAACCACAATATGTTGTTTTCAAGATTGTACATTGGTGTAATATTTTTTTTACAGAAAAATATGTGCAAATTAAACACCTTAACTGAGATATATTCCATTATGAAATTCATATTTTCCACCAATAATAGAATATAAACGAAAAAAAAAGTAATACGGGAAAATATTTTAATTTTTTTTAAGTGTAATAAAGCACAAGAGTCGAAAAATAAATTTTAAATTACAATAACATGGTTCGATCTGTAAACAATATGTACCAACAATTGTATAGTTGAGGGGAGGAGCCCATACCCGATAAATTGATAATGTAACGGATATTATAATATAAGGGTGTATGGGTAATCGATAACCAGTTTCGGATAATTATTTTTGAAGTTATTGAAGTTTCAAGTTTAGGACAGGAGGAAAGGTGGAATGTAGTATTATTTTTATTTGCGCGCGTTTCCCCACCGCACTGGTGTAGTGGAAGGAGGTCCCAACCAAACATTTAAAATCTTATAACTTGAAAAATGGACAACTATTTTTAAAACTCTAAAAATGGCTAAAATCTTGATTACTTTAAAATTATAAGCATTAAAATAGATTTAATCTACTATAAATTTGCGCATAATTTTCTACACAAATCTATATTCATTTTATTATAATATAATAATATAGGGTCACAGAAGATATTTTTTTAATATTTATTTTTAGACTTAAGTTTTTTACTACACTTAAAAAAGTAAAATAAAGACAACATTTTAACTCGTTCTACGAGCCATAACAAAATAATAGTAATAATCATTAACAATACATTTATGCATAAATAAGGTATAAATAAGGAATAATTAAGTAATATTTAGTTGTTACGGACTTGGTCGATTATACCCGTTCTTTTCTTAGACGGTTTTTTTAAAATTAAAATATATTCTCTGGTTCCCGGTATTGTAAAAAAAAGGAATATTATTTTTTAAATTTTTTATTACATAAATTATCTTAACTGGATACTATGTAAAATCAATTTAGTCGTATTTAGAAGATTATAATGCTAAATCAACGAAAAGTGATTTTATAGAATGAATTTTTGTTAAAAAGTATACAAAAAAAATTATCATTGGCTTAAAAAAGGAAAAGATATCCTCTTTTTACACTTAACATATAATAATATTTTCATTTAATTATTCTAAATTTAAATTATTTTTTCCGTATTATCTTTTTTTCGTTTAAATTATATTCTTTATGGGAATTATGAAAACACATTTTGTTTTTTCCATATTAGATTATCGCTTAGTCGAGGTGTATGCATACACGCTTTAGAGTAAAATATTTGTTAAAATTTCCTAAGAACTGAAGTAGGCTGTAATATTATACGAAAGCATTCCAGGTATCGTTATATAATTGCAGTATTGTTTTTCCTACTAAAATCTAAATTAATTTTATTAAATAACAATATTTTAGGTATAAAAAAATAATACCATAGGTTTTAGAAATGTTAGAATATGGTTTTAAACACGTGATTTTACTCATGTATACAACAGTTGGTCGGTAATGTTATTTAGAGATTGAACCATAACATGTTGTTTTTGAAAACGTACAATGGTGTTATATTACTTTAACTGAAAAATGTGTGCAAATTCATAATAGACAAAGTCTATTATAATGCATATAATTTTAAAAGGATCAAGAATGGAGTCATCTCACATGATATAATAATCTTTTGTGGTTTGTCCTTTAAAAGTCATAATTGAAGCTAAATCCCCACTCTTTTAAAAATTTAAAAAAAAAGGGTAAAATTTTAGTTAAACAAACATATATAGATATTTTAATTTAATTATTCTAATTTTAAAATATTTTTTCTGTATCTTTTTTTTTTGTTTATTATACAATCTTAACGAGAATTAGGAAAACTCATTTTTTAAAAAAAAAAAAAAATATAACACCAGTGTACGATATTGAAAACAACATATTGTGGTTCGTATCTGTAAACATTATGTACTGTTGTGGTAATGGATAAACATATTTTTTTAAATAAACTAAATTCTAACGGAAAATAACGATGTTTATACAAAACAATGTTCCAACAACAAATTTACGGGCAAAAATAAAGTTTTACTGAAAAATTTTAACAAAAAAAAAAGCCACACCAGTAAAGTGCCGGGAGGTCACAGGTGCTCAGGGGAAGTGATAAAATCCATTTTTTCTCTTGGCTGAGTTTTTCTTAATTACTTGGGTTTTACCCCGTTCAATTCCAAATGGTTCGTGCCAATGGGTCAGGCATTACACAGGTTTTTTAGGAATCATTATCACTGAAAAATTACAAAAAAAAAAACTTTCGAACGATGCTTCAATGCGAATTCTCAGATGATCAAATTCACTATAAGTAGCTAAGACATATTATTGCATTAGGACCATTGCACAATTTTTAAGAAAAATCTAATTGAATCATTCGTTTGTAAAACGATTCCCTTTCTAGCTAATCGTTTTAGCACTCTAGCAATAATTCATTTTTTTTTCTTAAATATATGATAACCGATTTGTATTAAATTTTTCGTAAAGAATGAGACCTTGGTTTAGTTTCGAGTAAGTACTCATTTTTAAAAAAATGTCATCCAAACATAGCTACGCATATTATTCACTATGATATGGCTAAATAATAATCGTAGACACTTTTTTTTTACAAAATGAAAATAATGAGAACTTAATCTCGGTTCTTTCGTCGGTTTGTTTTTTATATTATCAACCAAATTGTCATGATTTAAATTTAAATTAAGACACTTTTTTACTTTTTTTAAACGCTTGTAATAAAAATAGAATTTATGTTTTCTCAAAAATCCGACGAAAGAATCTAGTTGAAGTTTTTCTCGTATTAAGGATATCAAATTTTGTTTTTTATGACCATTTAGCTTTGAACTACACTTTTTTCCATAAACACACCTTTACGATTATTTTAAAAGGGTATGACGTCCTCTTAAGCTCAAAAAATCGTATATTTCTTTTAATTAGCATTTTTCCTTTTCATATTATGATTAGGTTAGGTTATGATAATTAAATAACAAAAATACTCGTTTTTTATTTATAGTTGAATAATTTATTACTTATTTGCATAGACACAGTAGGTTTTTAATTTTTTTTTATTCTAATAAAAGTGTTTATAATTTTTATTTAGTAGTGACATATAGTCTGACCGTTCGGCGATTGCGCGGCTGGTGTCGCTAACGTCGTTGGTTTCTTAAAAAATCTATAAAATTACAAAAAAATATATATATACATATATTTAGGTTCCTTCTGTTGTACGTGCATACACACAGTTTATACTTAATACATAACATTATAGTGTACAGTTTAAACTTGTAGTAAGTTATTAACTATCGTTTTGTCGGTAAGGATAAACTGTATAAATTATAATCAGTAAAAACAACTTAAAATTATATAGAGACATAATTTTGTCAAAAGTATAAATTAACTCTAAGTCTAATAGCATGTTCTAACCTTGTCATTTTCAGGGGGGGGTTGGTAGAGGATGACACCAGGGAGTCCTTGCTGTAATATTAAAAAAAGATATATATATATATGTATATATTTAGGTTCCTTTTATTGTACGTACAAAAATATAATATTATAGTGTTCTGTGTACGTTTGTAGTAAGTTATTAACTTTCGTTATGTTGGTAAAAATAAACTGTATATTTTGTATTTTGTAAAAAAATTAAAAGTTAAATAGTGAAGATAATTTACTTAAACGGTTAAAAACGCTGTAGTCGTTTTTTTAGGTTTAAACAAGGTGAACACTGTACCTTACTAATAGTTCGTTCAAAAACAATATTCTATCAAATTACTCAATTGTATGCTTTGGAAAGACTTTTTTGATTTTTTTTTAGTAAAACAATGAAAATAACTTACACGATGATGAATCTGATGAATCTGATGAAGCTGTAAAAAAAAAGGGTAGTGGGGAGTAATACAAATTATAAATTAATATATTTTGGTGGTTAGTATTTATGAAAACTTTCAAAAATTATTGTTGTTTATACACCCGAGTGCTTTAACATTGCTACTAGCACAATAACAATGTACAAAAAATGCATTTTGGTAATCATTATTTTTGGCGAATAGAAGAAACTAAAATAAAGACGCCTTAACTTTTTTATATACTAAGTTGATATTTTGACTCTGACATGTGATAAGTAATGTTTAATTTTTTTTTGTAATTATTTAAGCAATTACATTTTCGTACACATATGTAATTATAGAAAAAATTTTAAAAAAGCAGTTTGTCGGTATGAAACAAATTGTCAACATTTTAAAGTTATTAACACGACGTAACATTTGTTAATAAATCTAAGTTGCCTTAAATATGCAGATAAAAATATATGTAAAATTATATTGACTTTGTTCACCACACTACTGTATACTCAAGGACGAAGCATTCATATTGTTCAAATTATAAATACTATAATCGGTTATTTAGGATTAAAAAATATATAATTGATAATTCTTGAGTTTTAAAAATTACTCAAGTGTATGCTTTGGAAAGATTTGTATGATTTTTTTAATACAAAAAAAAACTTACTTAGTCCAGTTACATAAGGCCCAGCTGTAAAACAAAAGGATTTTGATATAATTAGGTGGTTAATATTTATACAACATTCTAGAACTATGAAATTCGAGTAATGTGTACAATATCGGAAACAAAATTTTGGTTCTAGCTGTATGAACATTACCGACCAATTATGGTAAGACCTTGTATTCTCTAAAAGGATTTTTTTATACTTAGTTGGTTAATATTCATACAAAATTAAAAAAAATGTACAAATTACTCAGTGTATGCTTTGGTAAGATTTGTATGCTTAATTTTGGTGTTAAACAATAATAATAACTAACCTGGTTGTTGAGCCGCTGGAAAAAAAATGGGTAGTATTGAGTAGTGAAATTATAAATGCTTATATTTCTACGGTAATTGTTTATACAAAATTCCATAAATGAACATATTACTCAGTGTATGTTTTGGAAAGATTTGTATGATTACTTTTGGTGTTAAACAATAAAAAAAACTCACTCGGGTGAGGTTGAGCGCCTGGAAAAAAATGGGTAGTATTGAGTAGTGAAATTATAAATACTTATATTTTGGTGGTTAATATTTACACAAAATTCCAAAAGGGATTGTTATTTGAACTCTTATAGTGTTATTAATATAAAACGGGTTATTAAATTTTGGATTAACTTTATACTAAAGAACGTGGCATTAATTGTACATGTTAGAAATATCATAAACATTTATTTAAGATTAAAAAATGTGCAATTGATAATTCGTTCAAAAACAATATTCTTTCAAATTACTCAAGTGTATGCTTTGGAAAAATTTTTTTGCTTTTTTTTTAGTAAAACAATGAAAATAACTTACCCGCTGGTGGTGTTGGTAGTGGATCTGTAAAAAAAAAAGGTAATGGTGAGTAATAAAATTATAAATTGTTATATTTTGGTGGTTAATATTTATGAAAAACTTTATTAAAATTCTTCATATTATAAATACTATAATCGGTGTTATGGTTCAAAAATTTCTAATTAATAATTCGTTCAAAAATATAAATATTCTACAAAATTACTCAAGTATATGCTTTGAAGAAATTTGTATGATTTTTTTATTAAACCAAAATAACTTACATCTTTTCTCTTCATCTGACCTAGGTGCCACTGAAAAACAAAAGGATTTTGTTATATTTAGGTGGTTAGTATTTATACGAAATATCAAAAATTATATTTATTTAAATACCTGACAACTTTGTTAGAATTCCGACAAGCAACATGACAATGTACAAGAAACGCATTTTTACAATATATGATAAATGACTGTCGTTTGCCTTTGGAAGTAACTGGAATACTAGTAGGGACCTACTATATTTTTCTTCTTATATAACCCGGGAGTAGTGTTTTGTAAATACTAAAAACTACATGTTTTGTAAGTTGTTTTTTGTTTTTCCCTATTCCTCAGAAACTATTTACGAACATTTGAACTAGAAGTGGGTCATTTGAACCACGGATTTACAAAAACATATAGTCGGAGTTTAGAAAAAATAACTTACTTAGAAACAGATGTCTAAAAAGTATCTTGGTACAAAACAATACTGAAAAAAAACACTATATTTAAATAAATTTAAATAAATTTCTTATTAGACACTATGAGATATTGAGTGTGATATTCTAGGTTATATTTTGTTATTCGTTTTTTACTAAGCAAGGTTAGCGCAAACATTGAGACTTTATGATCTGTATCGATAAAAAAACAAAACAATTAATCATTGGAAAACGTATAGGTACCACCTACTTCACCACCTTACCTAACCTAACCTCACTATAAGTGTGCTCTCAACTTTTTTGCAATAAACCGAAATATTATATTAAACAAATAGAGTTGTTTTTTGTTATTCCCTATTCCTCAGAAAATATTCATCATTATTTGAATACAAAATCGAACTAGAAGTGGGTCATTCGAAACACGGATTTAAAAAACAAATAGCTGGTAATATGTTGGAGTTTTGAAAAAATAACATACTAAGAAACAGATTAACAAATTATGATACTATCTGTACAATCCATACCGACCAATTATGGTGTATATGAGTAAAATCATGATACAAAAACAATATTGAAAAATAAAGAATTATAATATTATATTTTTTATTTAATAATTCGTAGTAAGCCGTAAAATTAAGTTTAAAATTATTTTAACCTTCTTTTTAAATTTTTTAAGAGAGTAAGGGTATAGGTTGTCAATTGAGATAATTAAAGAACAAACCACAAAAGTTTATTATATTATGTGAGATGTGTGAAAATGTATTACGTTTTGAAATTAAAAACATGATTTTCTCAGAATGTTAAAAAATTGTCATTGTCTTTTTCCCCGCAGCCCTTTATATACGTATATAATTTACCTTCAACCTTTACCAAATTTTCAAATGTAATATACATTCATTTTAATGTATTTATTTTTGTGATCATTTTGTGATCATCGGCTTTGATGATGTGCACTAGAACACAGCCCTTTTTTTTTAGAAAGTTCTGTTTCACACATTGTTTTCATTAAAATCTTCAACTAATTTCTCTTTTGGTTTCTTAATGCTTAACCAATTTAGAGGTGGGTCTTTCGAAACTAGTATTTCAAAATCAAATATATGATACAAGTTTAGGTTAAAAAAAAACACACTAAGAAACAGATATGCCATGTGATCTTAATTGTTTAGAACTTTTTATTTTTATCCCCCTCCCAACTCAGTTTTTTTGACAGCAACTTATGAATTTTGAATAACGTATACATTTTATTTACTTCCGGTTAACTATTTTTGAAGTTATTGAAGTTTAAGCTTAAGGCAGGAGGAAATATATAGTGTAGTATTATTTTTATCCGCACGCATTTCCCCACCGCACTGGGGTAGTGGGAGGGGTCCCATCCTACCTTTTCAACTCTTATAACTTGATATATAGTTGACCAAATCTGGTTATCAACCAGTCAAAATGTTTGGTACATTATTCTAAATTTAAAAAGTTTTGAAATATATGCGTTACCATTTAATTTCAAAAGTTGCTATCAAAAATACTAAGTTGGGAGGGGGTTAAAACCCAAGTTGCGACAGCTCGTTATTATTTCAATGGCGTCTTAAAGTAGGCGCGCTAATTTAGTATCGCAATTTAGTGTCGTTTTTGGGCTGGGGGGCTAAGGCTAAAACATATTCCATGCTAAAAAAAAAATTATTAAAACTAACATATATCAAATTCACATTGTAATATTATCGGTATTATCTATGTTATAACGCGATTTCAAAAATATGATTTTACTCATATACACAACAGTTGGCCGGGAATGTTTACAGATCGAACCATAACATGTTATTTTAATATTGTACAATGGCGTTATATTTTATTTAGACATCTGTTTCTTGGTATGTTATTTTTTCAAATTCAAATATTACCATCTATATGTTTTTGTAAATCCGTGGTTCGAATGACCCACTTCTAGTTCGATTATGTATTCAAATGTTGATAAATATTTTCTGAGGAATAGGGAAAAACAAAAAACCACAATATGTTGTTTTCAAGATTGTACATTGGTGTAATATTTTTTTTACAGAAAAATATGTGCAAATTAAACACCTTAACTGAGATATATTCCATTATGAAATTCATATTTTCCACCAAGAATAGAATATAAACGAAAAAAAAGATAATACGGAAAAATATTTTTAATTTATTCGACAAGAGTCGAAAAATAAATTTTAAATTACAATAACATGGTTCGATCTGTAAACAATATGTACCAACAATTGTATAGTTGAGGGGAGGGGCCCATATCCGATAAATTGATAATGTAACGGATATTATAATATAAGGGTGTATGGGTGTTGAGCCAAAAGAGTTTCCAACAAAATCAACATGTTGATTATACAGGATGTTGTTTTTTTTTATCATGGGCCATTTAATACCTCATAGTGTTTAATAGGAATTACATTTTTTTTCATATTGTTTTTAAACAATGTGATCTCAATTTTTCATAACTCTTTTGTTTTTACCCCCCTCCCAAATTGACCCAACCTAACGTAACCTTGACGGCAACTTTTGAATTTTGAATAACGTATACATTTTATTAATTTTTTTAAATTGAAAGTAATGCACTAAAAACGTTGACTGGTCGATAACCAGTTTCGGATAATTATTTTTGAAGTTATTGAAGTTTCAAGTTTAGGTCAGGAGAAAAGGTGGAATGTAGTATTATTTTTATTTGCGCGCGTTTCCCCACCGCACTGGGGTAGTGGAAGGAGGTCCCATCCAACATTTAAAATCTTATAACTTGAAAAATGGACAACTATTTTTAAAACTCTAAAAATGGCTAAAATCTTGATTATTTTAAAATTATAAGCATTAAAATACATTTAATCTATTAAAAATTTGCGCATAACTTTTTACACAAATCTATATTCATTTTATTATAATATAATAATATAGGGTCACAGAAGATGTTTTTTTAATATTAATTTTCAGACTTAAGTTTTTTACTACACTTAAAAAAGCAAAATAAAGAAAACATTTTTAGTTGTTCTACGAGCTATAACAAAACGATAGTAATAATCATTAACAATATTTGGTTGTCTTTTTTACACTACAAATAAATGCTTGACTCGCAATTTTAATTGTATAAAACCGGATTATTTTTTAAAAAAACTTTAATAATTTTTGTTAAATTTTCCTAAGAACTGAAGTAGGCTGTAATATTATACGAAAGCATTCCAGGTATCGTTATATAATTGCAGTATTGTTTTTCCTACTAAAATCTAAATTAATTTTATTAAATAATAATATTTTAGGTATAAAAAAATAATACCATAGGTTTTAGAAATGTTAGAATATGGTTTTAAACACGTGATTTTACTCATGTATACAACAGTTGGTCGGTAATGTTATTTAGAGATTGAACCATAACATGTTGTTTTTGAAAACGTACAATGGTGTTATATTACTTTAACTGAAAAATGTGTGCAAATTCATAATAGACAAAGTCTATTATAATGCATATAATTTTAAAAGGATCAAGAATGGAGTCATCTCACATGATATAATAATCTTTTGTGGTTTGTCCTTTAAAAGTCATAATTGAAGCTAAATCCCCACTCTGTTAAAAATTTAAAAAAAGGGTAAAATTTTAGTTAAACAAACATATATTGATATTTTAATTTAATTATTCTAATTTTAAAATATTTTTTCTGTATCTTTTTTTTTTGTTTATTATACAATCTTAACGAGAATTAGGAAAACTCATTTTTAAAAAAAAAAAAAAATATAACACCAGTGTACGATATTGAAAACAACATATTGTGGTTCGTATCTGTAAACATTACCGACCAACAGTTGTGTATATGAGTAAAATCGTGTTTTTAAAATCACATTATATGATTTCTAAAACCTACGATATTAATAAAGATATTATTAGAAAAAAACAAGGTATACACGCTTTTCAGTAAAATATTCGGTTGTTTTTTTTTTAGTTGAAGTTTGAAGTTCCCGGTAAAGAATTTGTTGTACAGCTACGCGTATGGTGCGGCATTGTCAAATGTGGTCACTTAGCATAGACCTCTAGTACCATTGGACATATAGCCGAAATGTTTACTTCCGTTTGCTAGTCAAATTCATCTCCGTCAGTCCTACTTCCGGTATTTGCGCAATTTTACTCCTACTCAAAATATCTTACCGCGCGTAAAATTGTTTACACATAAAAAATACCATTTGTTTTTCATCATTTTAAATTTTATTAATTTTTTTCATTATTTTAGATTTTTATTTCGTACTGTTGTTGTAATGGATAAACATATTTTTTTTAATTAACTTAATTCTAACGGAAAATAACGATGTTTATACAAAACAATGTTCCAACAACAAATTTACGGGCAAAAATAAAGTTTTACTGAAAAATTTCAACAAAAAAAAAAGCCACACCAGTAAAGTGCCGGGGAGGTCACAGGTGCTCAGGGAATATTACAATTGAAAGTGATAAAATCCAATTTTTTTCTTCTTGGCTGAGTTTTTCTTAATTACTTGGGTTTTACCCCGTTTAATTCCAAATGGTTCGTGCCAATGGGTCAGGCATTACACAGGTTTTTTAGGAATCATTATCACTGAAAAATAACAAAAAAAAAAACTTTCGAACGATGCTTCAATGCGAGTTCTTAGATGATCAAATTCACTATAAGTAGCTAAGACATATTATTGCATTAGGACCATTGCACAATTTTAAAAAAAATCTAATTGAATCATTCGTTTGTAAAACGATTCCCTTTCTAGCAAATCCTTTTAGCACTCTAGCAATAATTCATTTTTTTTTCTTAAATATATGATAACCGATTTGTATTAAATTTTTCGTAAAGAATGAGACCTTGGTTTAGTTTCGAGTAAGTACTCATTTTTAAAAAAATGTCATCCAAACATAGCTACGCATATTATTCACTATGATATGGCTAAATAATAATCGTAGACACTTTTTTTTTGCAAAATGAAAATAATGAGAACTTAATCTCGGTTCTTTCGTCGGTTTGTTTTTTATATTATCAACCAAATTGTCATGATTTAAATTTAAATTAAGACACTTTTTTACTTTTTTTAAACGCTTGTAATAAAAATAGAATTTATGTTTTCTCAAAAATCCGACGAAAAGAATCTAGTTAAAGTTTTTCTCTTATTAAGGATATCAAATTATGTTTTTTATGACCATTTAGCTTTGAACTACACTTTTTTCCATAAACACACCTTTACGATTATTTTAAAAGGGTATGACGTCCTCTTAAGCTCAAAAAATCGTATATTTCTTTTATTTAGCATTTTTCCTTTTCATTTTATGATTAGGTTAGGTTATGATAATTAAATAACAAAAATACTCGTTTTTTATTTATAGTTGAATAATTTATTACTTATTTGCATAGACACAGTAGGTTTTTAATTTTTTTTTATTCTAATAAAAGTGTTTATAATTTTTATTTAGTAGTGACATATAGTCTGACCGTTCGGCGATTGCGCGGCTGGTGTCGCTAACGTCGTTTGTTTCTTAAAAAATCTATAAAATTACAAAAAAATATATATATATACATATATTTAGGTTCCTTCTGTTGTACGTGCATACACACAGTTTATACTTAATACATAACATTATAGTGTACAGTTTAAACTTGTAGTAAGTTATTAACTATCGTTTTGTCGGTAAGGATAAACTGTATAAATTATAATCAGTAAAAACAACTTAAAATTATATAGAGACATAATTTTGCCAAAAGTATAAATTAACTCTAAGTCTATGTTCTAACCTAAGTAAGTTATCAACTTTCGTTATGTTAAAAAAGTGCTATTCAAAGTTAAATAGTGAAGATAATTTAGTTAAACGGTTAAGAACGCTGTAATCATTTTTTTAGATTTAAACAAGGTGAACACTGTACCTTACTAATAGTTCGTTCAAAAACAATATTCTATCAAATTACTCAATTGTATGCTTTGGAAAGACTTTTATGATTTTTTTTTAGTAAAACAGCGAAAATAACTTACACGGTGATGTATCTGATGAATTTGATGAAGCTGTAAAAAAAAAAGGGTAGTGATGAGTAATAAAAATTATAAATAATTATATTTTGGATGTGCAATTGATAATTCGTTCAAAAACAAATTTCCTTTCAAATTACTCAAGTGTATGCTTTGGAAAGATTTTTATGCTTTTTTTTAGTAAAACAATGAAAATAACTTACCCACTGGTGGTTTTGGTATTAGATCTGTAAAAAAAAGGTAATGGCGAGTAATAAAAATTATAAATTATTATATTTTGGTGGTTAGTATTTATGAAAACTTTCAAAAATTATTATTGTTTATATACCCGAGTGCTTTAATATTGCTACTAGCACAATAACAATGTACAAAAAATGCATTTTGGTAATCATTATTTTTGGCGAATAGAAGAAACTAAAATAAAGACGCCTTAACTTTTTAATATACTAAGTTGATATTTTGACTCTGAATGTTATAAGTAATATTTAATTTTTTTTGTAATTATTTATCAATTACATTTTCGTACACATATGTAATTATGGAAAAATTTTTAAAAAAGCAGTTTGTCGGTATGAAACAAATTGTCAACATTTTAAAGTTATTAACACGACGTAACATTTGTTAATAAATCTAAGTGGCCTTAAATATGCAGATAAAAGATATATGTAATTATATTGGCTTTGTTCACCACACTACTGTATACTCAAGGACGAAGCATTCATATAGTTCAAATTATAAATACTATAATCGGTTATTTAGGATTAAAAAAAATGTAATTGATAATTCTTGAGTTTTAAAAATTACTCAAGTGTATGCTTTGAAAAGATTTGTATGATTTTTTTAATAAAACAAAGAAAAAAACTTACGTAGTCTATTTACGTAAGGCCCAGCTGTAAAACAAAAGGATTTTGATATAATTAGGTGGTTAATATTTATACAAACTTCTAGAACTATGAAATTCGAGTTATGTGTACAATATCGGAAACAAAATTTTGGTTCTAGCTGTATGAACATTACCGACCAATTATGGTAAGACCTTGTATTCTCTAAAAGGATTTTTTTATACTTAGTTGGTTAATATTCATACAAAATTCAAAAAAATGTACAAATTACTCAGTGTATGCTTTGGTAAGATTTGTATGCTTATTTTTGGTGTTAAACAATAATAATAACTAACCTGGTTGTTGAGCCGCTGGAAAAAAAATGGGTAGTATTGAGTAGTGAAATTATAAATGCTTATATTTTGGATGTGCAATTGATAATTCGTTCAAAAACAATATTCTTTCAAATTACTCAAGTGTATGCTTTGGAAAAATTGTTTTGCTTTTTTTTAGTAAAACAATGAAAATAACTTACCCGCTGGTGGTGTTGGTAGTGGATCTGTAAAAAAAAAAGGTAATGGTGAGTAATGAAATTATAAATTGTTATATTTTGGTGGTTAATATTTATGAAAAACGTTATTAATATTCTTCATATTATAAATACTATAATCGGTGTTATGGTTCAAAAATTTCTAATTAATAATTCGTTCAAAAATATAAATATTCTACAAAATTACTCAAGTATATGCTTTGATGAAATTTGTATGATTTTTTTATTAAACCAAAATAACTTACATCTTTTATCTTTATCTGACCTAGGTGCCACTGAAAAACAAAAGGATTTTGTTATATTTAGGTGGTTAGTATTTATACGAAATATCAAAAATTATATTTATTTAAATACCTGACAGCTTTGTTAGAATTCCGACAAGCAACATGACAATGTACAAGAAACGCATTTTTACAATATATGATAAATGACTGTCGTTTGCCTTTGGAAGTAACTGGAATACTAGTAGGGACCTACTATATTTTTCTTCTTATATAACGTAGTATCTTTTACTACTAAAAACTACATGTTTTGTAAGTTGTTTTTTGTTTTTCCCTATTCCTCAGAAACTATTTACGAACATTTGAACTAGAAGTGGGTCATTTGAACCACGGATTTACAAAAACATATAGTCGGAGTTTAGAAAAAATAACTTACTTAGAAACAGATGTCTAAAAAGTATCTTGGTACAAAACAATACTGAAAAAAAACACTATATTTAAATAAATTTAATTAAATTTCTTATTAGACCCTATGAGATATTGAGTGTGATATTCTAGGTTATATTTTGTTATTCGTTTTTTACTAAGCAAGGTTAGCGCAAACATTGAGACTTTATGATCTGTACCGATAAAAAAACAAAACAATTAATCATTGGAAAACGTATAGGTACCACCTACTTCACCACCTTACCTAACCTAACCTCACTACAAGTGTGCCCTCAATTTTTTTGCGATAAACCGAAATATTATATAAAACGAATAGCGTTTTTTTTTTAACAAATAGGGTAAATCTAAATTTTGATAATGAACTTGTCGAATGGTCGAATATGACTCAATACTTATGTACTTAAAATGACATTAACTAATTGTCGATCAAAATAAAATGGCCATCCTAAATGTTTAACTCTTCAACTTGAAAAATAGATATCCAAAACTGGTTTTCAACCAGTCAATATTTTTAGTACATTATTATAAATTTAAAAAGTTAATTAAATATATGCATTATCATTTAAGTCATTAAAAGTTGCTATGAAAAAAATAACTTTAGAAGGGGATAAAACCAAAAAAAAAAAATTGATATCACATTGTATAAAAACAACATGAAAAACAAAATTAAATTTCTTATTAAACCCTGTGAGATATTGAGTGTGACATATGATAAAAGAATTACTCTCTAGAGTATAGTCTTAAATGTATGGTCTGGCCAATCGTTATACACGACGACGACGACGACTCGTTATTATTTCAATGGTGTCTTATGTTTAAAGTAGGCGCGCTACTTTAGTATTGCAATTTAGTGTCAACATTTAGTGTCATTTTTGGGATGGGGGCCAAAGCTAAAGCATATTCCATGCTAAAATAAAATATGATTAAAACTAACATCTATCAAATTCACATTGTAATATTATCAGCTGTATTATCTATGTTATAACGCGATTTTAAAAACATGATTTTACACATATACACAACAGGTGGCCGGTAATGTTTACGGATCGAACCATTATGTGTTGTTTTCAATAACGTACATTAGTGTCATATTTTTTTTACTGAAAAGTACGTGCAAATTAAACACCTTAATTAGGCGATATCCAATATGAAAAAAAACAAAACATGTTTTCATAATTTTCATCAATAATAGAATATAAACGAAATAAAAGATAATACGGAAAACATATTTTAAACTTATTTTTTAAGTGTAGTAAAGCACAAAAGTCGAAGAATACATTTTAAAAGAACATCTGCTGTGACCCTATTACAATAACATGGTTCAAACTGTAAATAACATCTACCAACTATTGCATACACGTGTAAAATCATGTTTTTCAAATCGCGTTACAACGATATTATTCTAAAAACTAAATTATTTTTTTTTTTATGCAAAAAATATTATTATATTATAATAAAACTAATATAGATTATATTGGGAAATACAATACTCCGATTGTACAACGATACTAGGAATGCTTTTGTATAATCTTACAGCTTACTTCAGTTAACTAGTTCTACAATTAATAACTATAGTTAATTAAAAAATGAACAAGCATAATTATTTTACCCAACATTCAATATACTCCTTGTAATAAGTATTATTCATAGAAATTGAGAGGCTTCCCAGAAGCAATTCCATAAATATGCGTTCCAAGGCATATTAATTAATTTTAAAATTGTTTTTTTTTAATTGTATAAAACAAGTTTATTTTTCAAAAACCTTAATGATTTTCATTAAAAACTCCCAAGAACTGAAGTAAGATTATACAGAAGCATTCCTAGTATCGTTATATAATATTGGAGTATTGTTTTCACCTTATAATACCTATATTAATTTGATTATATAATAATATTTTAGGTATAAAACAATAATACCTTAGGTTTTAGAAATGGTATAATGTGATTTGAAAATTATGATTTTACTCGTATACACAACAGTTGGTCGGTAATGTTTACAGATCGAACCATAACATGTTGTTTTCAATATCATACAATAGTTTTATGTTACATTAACTGAAAAATGTGTGCAAATTTATAATCGATAAAGGCTATTATACAATGGATATAATTTTAAAAGCAATCAAGATATGAGTCATCTGACATAATATAATAAACTTTTGTGGTTTGTCTTTTAAAAATCTTAATTGAAGAAAAAATATTTTTCAACTAAAATGTTAGTATTAAATTTAATATTAGTATTAAAATTTTACGGCTTACTAAAAATTATTAAATAAAAAATAGAATAATATAGTTCTTTATTTTTCAATATTGTTATTGTAGAATGTTTCTTTTGAGACATCTGGCTCTTAGAATGTTTTTTTTTAAACACTAGTATCATATGTTTGTTTTTTAAATCCTAATTTAATTTTAATTATTAATGAAAATCAGTTAAAGATTTTAATGAAAACAATGGGTAAAACAGAACTTTCTAATAAAAAAAGGGCCGTTCTAGTGCACAGTCGGCTGTGATGATCACAAAATGATCACTAAAATCAATACATTAAAATGTATGTATATTACACAGTAAATTACATTTCAAAATTTGGTTCATTTAATATTATTTGTTTTGGTATAACTTATGGCTATATTTTAATCGACAATTAGTTAATGTCATTTTAAGTATATAAGCTACTTAACATTAAGTATTGAGTTGTAATGGAGCATTCTACGATTGCAATAAGTTCAATTTTCAAAATTTAGGTTTATCTTTTTTGTTAAAAAAACAAAAACACTATTCGTTTAATATAGTATTTCGATTTATCGCAAAAAATAAAATTGAGGGCACACTTGTAGTGCAGTAGGTATAAGTTTTTCAATGATTTATTGTTTTGTTTTTTTCATCGATGCATATCATAAAGTCTCAATATTTTTTCCTTGTTGTGCAAAACGACAATTGTATTTTCATATATTTTAATGTTGGTTACAAAATATAATAATTTTAAAACAAAATCATACATAGAAAAAGGATCTCGTTGACAATTTTTTTTTTAATAAAAAACCTTTTTTGTAAAAAAAAAAAAACGTAATTTTTATAAAAATTACTATGAAATAACTGGGTCTCGTATACTACACAGTCCAAAAAGCCTAAATTTTTAGATATAATTTTTTAGTTGGAGATTTATGACTAATTTAATATTTCTAATCGA